AGCTAATTTTCTGGTATTTCATATTAAATGTTATACCAGTAATAAAAATGGTACCGGTATTCTTCATGTAGACTCACTTTCACCCATTGAAGAGATGTCTTTAAATGATGTCAAAGCTTGATAGGATATCGTTTAGTTTTTTTAAAACACTATGATATATCACGTAGTCCAGAAATGTTCTGTCAGAAATAGTTGACATGCCGTGGCCGTGCAACAGTGTTATGATGCAGAGAGGTGTCTGCATCAGGCGGTCATGTGAGAGACGGGGAGGGGCATATAGGCCCTACAACGATAATAACAGAATCTAATCCTGTTTAAGTTTGAGGCTAGTATTTTTCCTCATCCTTGAGGGGGTGCCTAAGTCTACCCAGCTCTGGCCTTAGCTGGGAAAAGTAAAGCTGGCTGGTTATTGCGCTGGCCATACACTCAAACTTGTAAACGCTGCTTCAATTGCCCCAAGGGAACTTTACTTCCCAAAGACTCGCAATGCATCCTACGACCAGCAGGGTTCCAATTAATTTGTGTATGCTTTTTTTGTATTTAGATCCAAAGTTACAACAGTGGCAGTATGGCTTTTTATATTTAGACCCATAGTTACAACAGTGGCAGTATGACTGTTTGTATTTAGACCCATAGTTACAACAGTGGCAGTATGGCTTTTTATATTTAGACCCATAGTTACAACAGTGGCAGTATGACTGTTTGTATTTAGACCCATAGTTACAACAGTGGCAGTATGGCTTTTTGTTTCAATTATCAACATTTTTTTTTTACAAGAGCTAACATTGTTGATGTCAATGATATTGATATGTTTTAAGTACGGTAGCGGTATGTTAATTTCATTGTCATCACTAAGTGTTATTTCAACTATTTCTGGAGCGGCATATTGTGTCCCTACTTATTATGATACTTATTAGAAAATAAAATGAAACAAATCAAACGTGACATTTTTTCAGCTAAACATTAATACACAACTCTGAGATCTAAAATATTTGAATAAGTAAGTTATTAATATTTTATTTGTTTATTAGAGAAAAAACAAATGGATGTTAAAGTCTATGAGTGGAATTATACAAAGAAAATTAAACAGTCAAAAGAGCTAAAAGTATATCACAATGTACAGTTAGATCGGCTGTATCTGACTTAAACATGGTTTATGCGGCTCATCTGCATGTCCATGTTGTTTGCAGTTTTTTTACGAAACTTGAATGAAAATTCTAACAAAATAGATTGAAACTAGAATTTTGAATACTTACGTTGTTGGACAGAATGAAAAGTATAATAAAATTGGTAAAATAAAAAGTGTAACATTAGTAACAAAACTATATGAAAATAATAATAATAGTAAAACTATGTGAACAGAATAAGAAAGCTATATGAAGAATATAATTATTATATAACAATACGAAATAACCATTAAATATTTTTGTTAAAACTTTATTTATAAAAAGTAGCTTCCCCGACGGGGAATCGAACCCTGGTCTTGCGGGTGACACGCGGACTTTGTATTTTATATTCACAATTTAATTTATCACATTCTGCTCGACATTTCGAGCGTTATCGGCACAGCTCTGTGAATAATCACTTCGTTTTAGTATTAGTATTAACAAACAGTACACTAACATTAACAGTGATGAATTAATATCATTCTTGGTTGTTAGCTAAATCCTTGGCCTTGGCTCTTGTTGTTAGTGTTAGCACTCGTTCACTTTCATTTGGACTTAAGCACATAAAAAATGTTAATTAAAATTCTTTCTTTTTTTTTTTTTAAAGTCACTTGGGTATAGACACAATCGGGAAACCCCGCGTCATTATTATAGTAAGGCTTAATTTAATAGGAAATCCGTGCCCTTTTTCCCGACGTTCTGATTCTGAATTTTTTAAAGAGGTTTTTTTTCTTCAAAAAAATTCAAAATTTTAAAGTTTGCATTAATTATTTTAAGACAAAGGCAACATATTTCATAAGAAATTGATATGCACGTTTTTAAAAATTATACCGAACAATTTATGGACCTTGGTTATGCAAGTTTGTGTTATTACAACAGATTCATGCGTCTTGGTCTTGGGTAGGCCCTATGCAAGTTTGTGTTATTACAACAGATTCATGCATCTTGGTCTTGGGTAGGCCCTATGCAAGTTTGTGTTATTACAACAGATTCATGCGTCTTGGTCTTGGGTAGGCCCTATGCAAGTTTGTGTTATTACAACAGATTCATGCATCTTGGTCTTGGGTAGGCCCTATGCAAGTTTGTGTTATTACAACAGATTCATGCGTCTTGGTCTTGGGTAGGCCCTATGCAAGTTTGTGTTATTACAACAGATTCATGCATCTTGGTCTTGGGTAGGCCCTATGCAAGTTTGTGTTATTACAACAGATTCATGCGTCTTGGTCTTGGGTAGGCCCTATGCAAGTTTGTGTTATTACAACAGATTCATGCATCTTGGTCTTGGGTAGGCCCTATGCAAGTTTGTGTTATTACAACAGATTCATGCGTCTTGGTCTTGGGTAGGCCCTATGCAAGTTTGTGTTATTACAACAGATTCATGCATCTTGGTCTTGGGTAGGCCCTATGCAAGTTTGTGTTATTACAACAGATTCATGCGTCTTGGTCTTGGGTAGGCCCTATGCAAGTTTGTGTTATTACAACAGATTCATGCATCTTGGTCTTGGGTAGGCCCTATGCAAGCTTTTTTTTATATTAAAACAAATTCATGGGCATCATGTATGCAAGCTTTTTTTATATTGCAACAAATTCATGGGCATCATGTATGCAAGTTTGTGTTATTACAACAGATTCATGCGTCTTGGTCTTGGGTAGGCCCTATGCAAGCTTTTTTTTATATTAAAACAAATTCATGGGCATCATGTATGCAAGCTTTTTTTATATTGCAACAAATTCATGGGCATCATGTATGCAAGTTTGTGTTATTACAACAGATTCATGCGTCTTGGTCTTGGGTAGGCCCTATGCAAGCTTTTTTTTATATTAAAACAAATTCATGGGCATCATGTATGCAAGCTTTTTTTATATTGCAACAAATTCATGGGCATCATGTATGCAAGTTTGTGTTATTACAACAGATTCATGCGTCTTGGTCTTGGGTAGGCCCTATGCAAGCTTTTTTTTATATTAAAACAAATTCATGGGCATCATGTATGCAAGCTTTTTTTATATTGCAACAAATTCATGGGCATCATGTATGCAAGTTTTTTGTTATTGCAACAAATTCATGGGCATCATGTATGCAAGTTTTTTGTTATTGCAACAAATTCATGGGCCATATTTAAGCATGTTTGTGTTATGCCACAAAAATATTGACCTTGGGTTCAGTGGCGTAGCTAGGGTTGGTGTCACCCTTCCCCGACATTCAAGATCGATTTGTTATTGTTTGGTGTCACCCCCTGAAATGGTGACACCCGGTGCGGTCCGCATCCCCCCAGCTACGCCACTGCTTGAGTTGGGTATGCAAGTTGACTCAGTGGATTGTTGTTTTGTTGATTTTAATTGGTCTACCAATGTATAAAAGAAATGGTATAGGGCATGCATGGCCAGTTAGTAGATATTTTTTTAATGCCTTTAAAAAAAGAAAAACAGAACTACACAAAAAGTACCACCAAAAAAATTTAAATGATGCTTTAACTTTAGCACTAGGGTCAGTACAGTCACTAGGAGGGTGCAAACCACACCAGGCAACACCCTCCGGTGGGGATACTAAAAGAACAATTACAATTTAACAGAGTTCGCCGGACACAGTTCCATAGCCAATCAGATTTAAATACCCGGTACAAGCGCAAGGTGACACCATAACAGAATGGCATTAGAGCTGGCAGACTCGGAGGAGGTCCATGCCATGACGAAAGTCTGGAGATGAGTGACATCATGAGTTTACCGCACTGGGTGATAAAAACTCTAGTGATGCCACTAATCAGGGAATTTATCATTTTCTAGTAAATTTGAAAGGCAGTGTCTACACGTCCGGCACGCCGGACGTATATCTCCCGCACTATTTGTCCGGCGACCATGTCACACGACAGCCATAACAAAGAGGCGAGAGATATCTTGTCGGTCAGCCTTGTCACCTAACTGCGAATGATTAAAAACTATTGTTAATAAATTGTTAATTTTAAAATCTATTTCTCTACCAAGTAATGTACTTAGTATCTCGAATGCAAACAATAGAAAAAAAACTTAAGCGAAAGTGGCTTGTAAACATTTTTGTTTTGTTTGTTATTTGAGTTTGTGTACCAGTAATCCATAAAATAAATTAGGGGCCAGTATCAGTATGGAGTAGGCAACCAATAAAAGTAAAGATTTCATTTTTAATTGTTTAAATTGCTACAAAATATTTAAAAACTTCTCATGAAACTACTCTTGCTGATGAACATGATAATAAAAATATAGTATAAAATATTTGTAATTAAAATGGGAAAAAAAAAATCCTTTCTCCGGAATTGATCCTCAAATCATAATAACATTAAGCAACCGCTCTACCACTAGGCCACGCAAGATCTACCGTACTGCACTTCGTTCAGAATAATAAAAACTACTAGCGTGACATGCCGCCGGACGTATATCTTGCGCACTATTTGTCCGGCGCGCCGGACGTGTAGACACTTCGAATTTAAAAACTTGATGAGTACTTATAGAAATTTCACCTGAAATTAAAGGTACCAAAGTTTTCACTTAAAAATTTTTGTTTTCTAAAAAAAAAAAGCCTGGACATCTGCTTTCATGTGAATAATCGGCAGTGGCCCAACTTACAGTAGACGGGAGGATACAAAACCAAACCAAAAAAAAAAAAAAAAAAAAAAAAAGTTTTCAATTAAAAATTTTTGTTTTAAAAAAAAAAAAAAGCCTGGACATCTGCTTTCATGTGAATAATCGGCAGTGGCCCAACTTACAGTAGACGGGAGGATAAAAAACCAAACCAAAAAAAAAAAAAAAAGAGACCAGTTCATAATGAAAGTATTTATTCTATGATAATAAAAAAAATTTCATTACATTGTATACAAATTAAACTTGATATCACAGACCACTTGACTTAGTTAAGGTTACAAAAGAAGAAGACATCAAACACAAAACCAAAGTTTTAAAAAAATATTTTTTTTTAAATATCATTTTTGAATGACATTAAATCTTCAGCTACCTTCTAACGCTGATTACCTGCAAATGTTCAGAAAAACTCAAACAGTATAAATATTCTGTTCCCACACACCCGAACACTCATAATCTAAACATCTGTGACTGTTTCTCTTTTTTAACTTAAAAAAAAAACACCCTTCAACTTTTCCTAACACAACTTGTGTCATTAATTAAAAGAGATTTTTTTCAGAGGAGTCCTGAAGTTATTGTTATAAACCTTAAGAACTTGAAGAGCTTTACAAAAGTTTTAAATCAGTGAGAAAAATATATCTTTCTTTTGTTTTTTTTCCCCCCTTTCATAGGCTTTTGTTATAAAGTTTTCAGAAAAGTATTTTGAAGCCCGATGATAGGACCATTTGTCTTTCTTGAAGAAAATGTAAAGCTATCTGGTTGGATCAGGAATATAAATTTGAATATGAGGCAAAGAGAATTTAAAGTTTGACTCCGAAAAAAACAACAACTCCTATCTCCAAAACTAATTAAAAAGAAGAAAAACTAAACAAAATATTTTGTTATTATTAATACTAATGCCAACAGAAAGGCGTCAATGGCTGGACGGATTTACAAACATTAGCATGTAGTGAAGTGAGAGCCACTTTGTGATATCTCTTCATTACAGGTTTGAAGCCAATTATGATAAAATGAGTTTGAAAACTTGCGCACGCTGGTCTACTAGTGAACTCATATAAAAGAAGTGTGGACTTATCTATTAGTGAACTCATATTCATATAGAAAACTCTTGATGAGGATACAAGCTCTGCCTCAGATGCAACTATAATTTCCTATTCATTATTTAAACACCTCGAGAAAAGTTGAGCTTTAAATTTAAAGGATATGAATGATTTACTGTAAAAATAATTTTAACAGCAATATTTCAGCTCTTTTAATGTCATATTTTTTAAAATATTTTTTTTCTTGTACCAATCACTCATTAATATCTTTTTGCAACTTAAAATATTCTTTCAAGTGTATTTGCTAACTGCCATATAAGGTTGAGAGTTGCATGTTCTGAGAACCCCCACGTAAATGTTTCTAATGCCCAAATAAAATTATAAAAACTGTTAAAAAATTTCAATACCCTTAAAATTTCATGTTGAAAAAAGGTTGCAATCAGTTTTTCCAACCTGTGAATGTAGAGCCTGGACAAAAATGACCCCTCCCCAATAATACTATAGGGATTATGCATGTACTTTCTTTAAATTTGATGATTTCGGCCCACCCAATGATGAAAAAATGTACACACCTTCACAAATCAAGAAACTTCAATATTTATACATACAAAACAAACCACTCATTCAAAATGATACATTATTCATATCATAGGTTAGGCAAAAACTTGAAAGATTGATGAATAATACGAATGTTGGTATAAACAGCATTGTTTCTATTGCTAATGGAATACATCACACAGGCAGCACTGTAGGTTACAAGTTCTTGTAAGCTAATTTTTTTTAATTAATACAATCATTGAGGACATGGGCACCAACTGGTGATTGAGGAAACTATTCTTAATGGCACAGACTAAATATTGAGGAGAGCCTTGCCTTCTTTCTAAAATAATAAGTCATCTAAAGCTACAGGACAAAATAAATCATTCTAATGCTATTGGTTAAATACTTAAAACCAGCGTTTCCCCAAACATTTAAGTTTGGTTCAGGTGGACCAGTTTCAAAACTGTACCAGGGACCGGAGCCGTATTTATTAATTTTTTTTTAAATTTTATTTATTTGACAATAAATATTCATGTTGTGCGGACCGGCGCCGGTCCGCAGACCACCATTTGGGAACGCTGACTTAAAGGACATACAAAAATATAATATAATATGTTGGTCACAATTAAAGGTGGACAGTGTATAAAAATATTCCGGTGGCAGTTCGTGTAAAGGAATAATAATAATAAGTTAAATAAAATAAAAACAAATGCATTATAAATTTCAAAACCAAATATAATCTGTCAGTCTCTATCAGGCATGATGACCTAGCTACAGTAGGGTGTCACGGTAACATTTACTGACCCTAACTCCTGTAACTGTTTTTTAATTTCATGTTTTTTCTTATTTTGATAATTTTTATGTGAAGCTCAATCATTTAAATAATAATAATAATAACTGTTTTGGTCCTACGAGTGTCATATTAATTGAACAACGCAAAGTTTGGTCGAGTTTTTAATGAAAAATAATAAGCAGCAGTCCTCACTATTAACATATCAAGTGCAACTTTAAATCAATAAACGAGACCGGAATGCAGTATATACAAACAATAACAAAATGGTTTTAATTTTATCTTATAGCAGCTGTCATGCATTAATTTAAAGGTCATTAAATAGCATTAGTTTACCCTTTCCAAACATCGATAAGTGATTTTATATATTTTTTAAAAAAATACAAGACAGGTAATTGGTAAAACTTATTGTCAAAATGTTCTGTACAAACAAAGGAAACAAATTTCTACAAAAAAGTTTTTTTTATAAATGTTTCATTGTAATATTATTTTGTTTATAAATGTGAACTGACACTAACTACACAACTTGTTACATATGTGCGGCAGAGGCAGCTCAGATTGTTGACTTGAGGACATGGAACCGCTTCAGGGACATTCGCACTGAACCCAGCTCTCGGTCCACTCTGTCCAGTTCTGCCTCCAGCTTTTCTTTTTCCCCACGGTGACCCTGGGCAGGCAGCTTGCTGAGAGCAGACTCATACTGGTGACAGTAGGTTACAAAATAAAATTTGAAAAATTCAACTTACAAGAAAAGCCGAATCTATTTAAATATAATTTTAAAATTGGATTCATCTGGTCAGAGATTCTATGCCATAAGCGTTTACTCTGTGCCATTCATCATATTTGGGGAGAGAGCGTTTCCGTTTAAAGTTATGACATTCTTTTGCATTGAAGAGCTCTATGACATGGTCAATCCAATTCGTCAAATTATCAAATTAACCAGCTTCCTACTTCTTCATTAATACACTAGGCATCTGACAGCATGCACCGGTCAAAGACATTATCATGGGATACAAACAATGTATATTTTTTTTTTAAAACTTGTTTGGCAGTCTCAAAATATAAATAAATATAAATATGTCAGGTATGGGAACCAAGGTAAAAATAGGGTTATGGACTTCAACATTTTTCAGCAAAAGTTGGAAATAGATAACGGGTGTTCTCTGAAGAATACAATTTACCAAGAGGAACTCCCTTCCCAAATCCACCACTATCTACATAAAGAAAACACTGAGGGGACAGTGGCATTAGCTTTATCACTGAGCCACAGTTATTGGTCCCTTTGCTGGGCAGGAAATCTCTGCAAGAAGTGCAGCGTCAATACCCAACTCAAATGGAAACAGCATCACGAAGATGACGCAAGAAGATGACTTCTCGCAAAGTCCTGTCTTTATATAACTTTTTAACACTTTTAATGGATTGAATTGAATACTATTACTACCTTGCCCTAACTCTTCCCATCCCAGGGTATAGATGTTCACCTTTTACCAGGGTATAAATGTTCACCTTTTACCAGGGTATAGATGTTCATAATTTACCAGGGTATAAATGTTCACATTTTACTAGGGTATAGATGTTCACTTTTTACCAGGGTATAGATGCTCATGTTTTACCAAGGTATAGTTGTTAAGCCTTTTAAGGATTGTGATTTGCTGATGGCTTGAGCAGAACTGCTGCCTACAAACTGATGGCTTGAGCAGAACTGCTGCCTACAAACTGATGGCTTGAGCAGAACTGCTGCCTACAAACTGATGGCTTGAGCAGAACTGCTGCCTACAAACTGATGGCTTGAGCAGAACTGCTGCCTACAAACTGATGGCTTGAGCAGAACTGCTGCCTACAAACTGATGGCTTGAGCAGAACTGCTGCCTACAAACTATCCGTTCAATAAAGTGAATGTTTCCATCCAATCTTTTAAAAATACTTTTGTAAACTGAAATTTAAACTTAATTACGGGTACACGTGTGCACAGTTTAAAAATTTTTGAGGGAAAATGATTTGTGAAATCATACCTGTCTTTTTTCCCGATTCAGGTCATCGTATTTCCTCTCCAGGTTGTCTATGTTCATCAGACGTTCCCTGATCATCATGTCTCGAGCCTTGAAAGAAAACAATAAACAAGAGGATTGATTCAATAACAGCCTCTTCCCTTCAGTGTTTTTGCAATTTTTATTCTATGCTTAGATTAGTCGGTTACGTGTAACTTCTCAAATTAGATCAAGGGTTCTTTAGCAGTTTTTGTACTATTCTAGATGTTACTTGTAACTCAAATTAGATCAAGGGTTCTTTAACAGGTTTTTTAATATCTCCTGTTGGTAATGAGTTATAGTTTATTTCCTGAATAATACAGTTTAATTTGAGGATACTGCCAAAACCCAGACAACCTGAAGCCACTCCTAAGATCCCAAAAGGGTAAACGGTCCCCAGGTTAAAAATCCCTGGATTATCGTAAAATTCATACAAAATAAATGACTCACAGAATTCAAAGCTGCCATCTTTCCTCCGCCATTCTCAGATCTGCCAGGAGTCATGGATGTGTAGACATCCTCCCAGGCTGGCCTTGACACAATGTCCCCTGACCTGACTCTGTCAATGGCCTGCTCTCCCGATACACCGTTCTCACTACCTGAAACTTTTAAGAAAAACATCAGATCATATCATATTTCTTCTTTTTAAATAATTATAGATAGGATAAGAGTTTGTTAAAATTCATTATTAATATGGTTTCAATTTTTTTTTTAAATAAAAAATTGTTTGGTAGATAGTCAAGAGACAAAATTCACAGCTTACCGCAAGTATGGTCTTCTGACTTACACTTCTTATGAATTTATCAGAATTCAGGAAAATGATAGCAGACCCGTTTACCCTCAAACTCTTAAATTCGTACAATATCATCACAAAATCGTTTAATACATTATCTTAATATTAAAAAAATAAACATATAGTAAATATAACATATACACTTCAAAACCATACATAGTACGCCTAAATCGTAAGTGAACAGGTCTGTGATAGCCCATCCATTTGTTCCCCTCAGCATACAATAACATGATTCTACTTAAATCTATATTCTCAGGCACAGGTTTGAAAAATTGAAAAAAAAAAGAAAAAGGAGTGGATGACACATTTCTCAATAGGTTGCTAAACCTCTGAATCCTAATTTATATTGCATAAGTTCCTTGCTTTCCCTAAATTTTCTTCTTTCTAATGATGGAACTAAGTCACCATATTTACACATTTTTATTTGGCTCATGTACCAGTACTCTGGAGCTTAAAAACAAGTTTTAGAAATTTTAGTAGTCTCCCTGTGGCCTCCAAAATCATAAAATCCATATAAAATATTTGCTACACAGACCATTGGGTAGATGGCAGTTTCAAAACACAACTAACTTTTTGCAGGTATGTTGTTGGTTCTCCCTTTCTGATCCCGGCGAGGCCTATCTTTATATCTTTCACTTCCTGGATTGACGTCTTTAATCGAGCTTCGGGTAGGTGTTCGTGATGAGGGGGGTATGCCGTCATCATTGGGCCTGACAATGCCAGAATGTCGTACTTGACTTTGGTGCTGTCTGGTTGGCTTATCAGGAGAAGGATGGCCAGCAAAGTTGTTAATGGCATTAGTAGATGATGACAAACCTATTTTTAAAAAATAAACAAGCAATAAATACTGCAAGAAATAAAAAAGTACATTTCAAAATTTATTTCGGTTCATAATTTCTCTTTCATCAAGCTCCCAAACATTTATGGTGATGGGGGCATGAACAATATAGAAAGAACCAGCAGTAAAAATAGACATTTTGAACAAGGAGTAAAATTAGATATTTAGAACAAGGCGTAAAATTAGATATTTAGAACCAGGATAAAAAATAGACATTTTGAACAAGGAGTAAAATTAGATATTTAGAACCAGGATAAAAAATAGACATTTTGAACAAGGAGTAAAATTAGATATTTAGAATCAGGATTAAAAATAGACATTTTGAACAAGGAGTAAAATTAGATATTTAGAACCAGGATAAAAAATAGACATTTTGAACAAGGAGTAAAATTAGATATTTAGAACAAGGATTAAAAAATAGACATTTTGAACCAGGAGTAAAATTAGATATTTAAAACCAGGATAAAAAATAGATATTTTGAACAAGGCGTAAAATTAGATATTTAGAACCAGGATTAAAAAATAGACATTTTGAACAAGGAGTAAAATTAGATATTTAGAACCAGGATAAAAAATAGACATTTTGAACAAGGAGTAAAATTAGATATTTAGAACCAGGATAAAAAATAGACATTTTGAACAAGGTGTAAAATTAGATATTTAGAACCAGGATAAAAAATATACATGTTCTAGAGAACAAGGGGTAGAGTGAACATCATAAGGTTAAAAACCAATGAAAGTCTTTATCACAACTCAATAGGCCTACCGCCCCGCCCCATCACTGCTTCACTGCCGTAAAACTTTCTCTGCAGCTTGGGTGTGAACTCCTGGCTGCTAAACGACTTCTGCAAGTTCCTCAGCTCCTTCTCCGCTCTCAGAATGGGTGACCTCAAGTGGTCGCCACTGTCTGTGTCTGAAACAGGTGAAGACGAGTTGCTGCGAGCTGATTCTATCCGTCCCCTCGTTGGGTTCGGGTATGACCTGAATAACAGGGATAAGGTTGTACATAATTACTTTGAGTAGGGTAATCAACATAAAGCTGCTAAGTGACGTTGGCCTTTTTTTTAAAAATGTGCATTGAAGAGTAAAAATACTGTGACTAAATCCAGTTTTATGTGTTGGTCTGAAGCAAATATTAGAACATGCTCCTTAATACAAACTTGTCTAAAAACCTATACAATTTTAAGATATTTTCTATGATTTTATTTTGTGTATTATGACAGTTTTCCCATATAATGCCTCATTTTCAACAAAAAAATGTGTACGTTTTTTTTACCCCTTATCTGCAGTTTTCATTTGATTGGGGAAATAACTATAGCATAACAATACATTCTGTAATTTTAAGCCTCATTGCGATGTATTAAAGTATTTGTCTGTGAGCAAACTTGCTACAAACCTGTGCACCAATTCATATGAAAAAATATTATTACATCCCGTCGGCCCAAAAATTTCAACTGACCAAAATGGCGGATGTTTTCCCTCACCTGTCTGCTGAACGTGTCCTTGACTTATTAGGGCTGCCGTAGTTTGGATGGCCGGTTGGTGAGTATGCCTCTTCATAGCTTGTTTTCATGGTCTGTGAACTGTTGGTGTTACAGGGGGTAAAAAAAAATCTGTATGCTAACTGATATTATAATAAGAGGCATCACACAAAATAATTTAGCATGGTATTACAACAGGGAAAAACAACAACAAAAAATTTTTTTAATGACATGTTAAATTGTGAAACACAAATGCCGACTACTAGTATAAATATATTTTTACTCTTTAACCCTTTCATTACCGCTGGTTTTGGGCATTGATTTTTGCTGACTCGGCAATAAAAAAACTTAAAAAAAGAAACTTTTGGTATTTTTCATTCTTTATCCGATTTGCTTATTACCTTCTCTATAGATTAACGAATAAAGAAATATGACGTCCATGTGACGTACTTTAATGTTAATCAATATCTTTAAACAATCACTTTCTTAATGTTAATCAATATCTTTATATAATCACTTTCTTTATGTTAATCAATATCTTTATATAATCACTTTCTTTATGTAAATCACTTTATTTACGTATATCATTTTCTTTATTATAGATCAAAAAGAAGCAGCAACAGAAAATGTAAAAAAAAATTAAAATATTTAATAAAATGCCACAATGTTGTTACACATAAATTAATATTACAGCAGTTGTTCAATAGAGTACAAACAATAAAGTTAAAGTATCCTACCTGCGTGCCATGGCAAGGTCATGCTTTAATATTTCATTGTCATGTCTCAGGTGTTTGATTTCCAACTGCGCCTTGGAGAGGTGGCTGTGTGAGGGAAAGGAGCATTTAAAACACACCTTGATCTTATGGGAATGAAGAAACTGGCAGGAGACCAGTGGCTCTAGTTCAATTACAATGGACTTAGGAAGCAAGGGGAGGAATTCATTCGTATTAATCCTTGTAAATCAAGAATTTGACATTTAATGTCCAAATATAAAGTAAGAAAGTTTTTTTTTTTTAATGATATTATATAATGGTTTCCCAATTATGTCAATTTTTACAAATAGGACTTTTGTACAAACATGTGTGTTTCCCTCCCCAACACACGCACAAAATTATTAATTTTTAAAAAATGCAACTGATCAGGGACAATCTATTTATGGTAAAAAAAAAAGAGAGAAAACTAAGTTATAGTATATTAAGTTATCCACAATTTTCTTAAGGCTAAAGTTAATCTTTTTCAACAGCTTATTTAGTAAATGCTTCAATTTTTTTTTTTTAATCTATTAATTTTAAAACATAGAAGGTGCAGTCTTTCTAAGAAATTTGAATCTTGAACTTACTATAAAAATGTATTTTCTCATTTAAAATTGATTAAACATTTTAATTTTTTTGTTAAAATGTCAGATTTTTAAATTTTTATAAAAACACCACAAAAAAAACCCGCAAAACATCATTACTTGTTGGCGTCCATGACCTCTGACCTTGAACTGTAAAGTTTTTGTTCAGTTGCTGACAAAGATTCCTGTAATTGTGGATTAAAATATTTATTTTCCTTGAATAAATTATTTATAGCAGGCATAAATAAACACACACATCTTCCCATCTTCAAACATAGACAGGTACGAGGCCGTGACAGGCAATGCCGGCTCATACCAGCGAGAAGCCAGTATAGGAACTGCCATTCCTGCCAAAGACAATCAGGGACTGGAACAAGCTTTCAAAAGGAACAGTTGAGGCGACAACACTGTACACATTTGTGTCTATTGCCTCAAGCCTTCCAACGCCCAGTGCATGATACCCTCACAAAGAAGCCCTTGCAACCAGTAAAATATCCTCATCCACACCAGGCACAGAAACATTGCTAATGCCCTCTACATGCATAGGAGCCAAAATGATCAATAAATTGATTGTGGGCCCTTAAGATATATAAAAGAAGAAGAAGACTCAAAGAAGACAAAATGAGATGTGATTGCTTCATAAATAAATAATCAATCAAGGAAATTTTAGATGCATTAATTTTAATCTAGTCAGAATTATTTCTCTGAACTCTAATTCAATGTATCAAATCCATTAATCTGAAAAATGTTATGACATCACAGGGGGATTTTAAAAAATAATTTGATGGCAATTGAGAAGGTATTGACATATTGTGTAAAAGTTATTAATTTAATTTGTTACCCAATCTATCACAATTCCAGTTGAAGGTATGGGAGTGGGAAAGGATGTTTGACCATCATAAGTAATGAAATAATTGAATTTTGTAAAAAAATAAAAAATTAATATGGAGTTGTTTAAGGTAGAAATAAATTATCTGAATGCTACAAATTCAAAAGTGCCCTACAGTCTTAGCTAAACCCTAAAATGGTATCTATGGCTTTTATTTACAGTCTTAGCTAAACCATAAAATGAAATCTATGGCTTTTAATCTAGTCTTAGCTAAACCATAGAATGAAATTTATGGCTTTTAATGCACAGTCTTAGCTTAACCATAAAATGAAATATATGGCTTTTAATGTACAGTTTTGGCTTAACCATAAAATGAAATCTAAGGCCTTTAAACTAGTCTTAATTTAACCATAAAAATGAAATCTAAGGTCTTTAAACTAGTCTTGGCTTAACCATAAAATGAAATCTAAGGCCTTTAAACTAGTCTTAGCTTAACCATAAAATTTTGATTTATTGTAGAGTAAAAATCATCTCTTTTTTTAGTAGTATTTACCTTCAGAAGGCCATAATCTTTCTCTAGTGTTTCATACTTATCAACCAACTGGAAATAGAACAAACAACAGATAAAGAAATCATCAAATTCAGATAATAAATTAAAATTTCTTAGAGAAGATGTCTGTGCCTTACAATTTATAAGTACTGTATTTATTGGCGTATAACACATCATCATCAATGGCACTACAGCCCATGTAGGGCCCTGGCCTGCTCCACCACATCCTTCCATTCGGAGCGATCCATGGCTTTCCGTCTCCATGCTCGAACCCCCAACTGGTGTAAATCTGTCTCCACATCATCAACCCACCTCATCCTTGGGCGATCGATGAGTCGTCTACCCCTAGGCTTCTGCCTGTATGTAATTTTGGCTGCTCTGCATTCCGGCATCCTTTCAACATGACCTGCCCAGCGTATTCTGCCTTTTTTATCATTGTGACTATGGGTGGCTCTTTGTACAAATAGTGAAGTTCTTGGTTTGTACGTATTCTCCAGATATCATTTTCTATCACTGGTCCGTATATTTTGCGCAGGATTTTCCTCTCCCATGTGTTGAGCAGGTTCTCTGCTTTTCTGGTGAGGGTCCAGGTCTCACTAGCATACGTTACTACAGGTCTTATGATGGTGGTGTATATTGTCTTCTTTGTTCCCCTTGATAGGTTTTTGTTTCCCAGTAGCTTTTGTAGACTGAAATAGGAACGGTTGCCTGTTGTTATCCTTGCATTCACCTCTGACATTATCTCATTGTGCTCATTTATAGTTGCCCCTAGATATTTAAATGTGGCCACTCTCTCAAATTTGTGGTTGTTTATATTGATGTTATTATCAGCATGGGAGTTTCTTGACATTATCATATATTTTGTCTTCGGTCCATGCCAGCTTTGAATGAGGCATTTTCAAGTTCCATGAATGCTTTAATTATGACATTACGGTTTCTACCCAGTAGTGCTATATCATCTGCATAGGCCAGGTACTGCAATGGTTGGCTATATAAGGTTCCTGATGGTCGTTGCTCTGTAGTATCTCTCTGGAAATAATTTGTTATGGTTCCACTGGTGCTAATGTGTATGCTTCTAATAACTTTTTCTAGCGTGATGTTAAACAGGATACATGATAGTGAGTCTCCTTTGTCTGAGGCCCCGATTAACTATGAACTCCCTAGAGTATTCTCCCTGAACCTTGATTCTACTTTTGGAGTTGGCCATTGTCATGTGTATGAGCCGAGTAAGCTTGTTAGGGACTCCAAGTTCTTGTAAAACATTGTATAAGTAATTCCTGTTTACGCTATCGTATGCTGTTTTGTAATCCACATATAGTTGGTGTATGTCGATGTTATATTCGTAGCATTTCTCCAGGAGACATCTTATCGTAAAAATATGATCCGTGGTTGACCTATTCTGCCGGAATCCACATTGATAGTCCCCTAGGATCTGTTCACTATACTTTTCCAATTTTCTCGCTATAAGTTTTCTGAGGATTTTGTACATTACATTAAGAAGAGAGATACCTCTATAGTTTGGGCAGATCAACCAGATCCCTTTTTGTGGATTGGGATTATGAGTGCCGTGTCCCATTCAGTTGGCATTTCTTCCTCCTGCCAGATTCTGGTTGTAAGTTCGTGTATTTGCCTATGCAGTTCGCTACCACCTAGCTTTATGAGTTCTGCATGGATAAGGTCTATTCCTGGGGCTTTGTTATTTTTCATGGTGGAGATTACATCTTTTATTTCATTTAAAGTTGGTTGGTTGACCAGTGGGTCCGGTCCTCCTTGTGGCGGGGCGTAATCCTCATTGGTTCCTCCACCTGAGCCATTCAGTAAGCCTTCAAAATGTTGTGCCCATCTCTCTAGTACTCTACTGCTCTCTGTGATCAATTCTCCATCCGTGCTTTCACACATGTGGGATCTTGCTTGAAAGCCATTCTTTTCCTCCTTTATCTTCAGGTACATTGCCCTCACATCTCTTTCTTTTGCCAACTCTTCTATCTCTACTATTTTTGATTTTTCCCAAACACGTTTTTTTCTTTCTGCAAATTTTGCAGGCCACCCTTCTTGCTTCATTATATAATTGTTGTGTTCTTCTTGTTTCCCTTTGCAGCATCATTAGCCGAGCTTTGTTTCTTTGTTCTATAAGTTCTTTGCATTCTGCATCATACCATCCTGTTCTTTTCATTGCTGGTTTAAATCCAATCGTTTCCTCTGTTACACTTGTGACTATTTGCTTCATCTTTTCCCATTGCCGTTTATATCAACGTTGCTGGCTGATTCTCTTTTGGATAATTCCAGTAGAGTTTCAATCTTCTGTTGATATTCCTCAGTAATTTTTGGGTCCCTACTAAGTTTCTGTCTATTGTACTGTTTTTCTCTTTCATTTTGTTTATTGTGGATGTTACAAATTCTTTGCTTATATTTGATTCTAACAAGCATGTGGTCTGAGTCTTTGTCCGCCCCTCTACAACTTTTCACATCTGATATGTCCGAGCCATGCCTCCGGTCGATGAGTATGTGGTCTATTTGATTACGGGTAAATCCATCTGGAGATATCCATGTTGCTTTATGTATTTGTTTATGTTGGAATACTGTGCTATTGATTATCATTTCCTTTTTGCATTGAAATCTCCAAGGACTATTTTGATATCATGTCGTGGAGCCTCATCAAATACTCTTTCCAGTGTTTTGTAGAAAGTTTCCTTCATGCTTTCATCTGTATCTTCCGTTGGTGCATGAGCGCAGATTAACGTGATGTTAAACATTTTTCCTCTTATCCTTAATCTTTCACTCACTGGTTTAAACCCAATGACTGCATTTACTGTCTCTCTTTTGACTGCAAAACCTGTTCCTAAGGTATTTGTGTTGTTTCCACTGTAGAATATTGTATATTCCTTTGTATTTAGGATATCTGAGTCTTTCCATCTAATCTCCTGTAGTGCCGCAATCACGATTCTATATCTAAGTAATTCATCACTGCTCTGTATAAACTGAGTACATTCCAGGTCGCTATCCATGTGTCATGTTTGTGGTCAGGCATGGATCAAAATCCATAAATGTCAGTCCGTTTTTCTGATTGTGGTTTTACTTTCGTAACATTAGCTTTTTTACGTGACAGGGTCGTCAGCCCTGCGCACAACCGTCTGGGGGGATGCCCCTTGCAGCTCTCAGGGTAGCTGCCTTTGTATTGGGTCGGGTCCCTAGCCTATGTGGATCCCTCCACTTCGTACAAGGCAGTAGGTACTGATTTTGGTCCACCCCGGGTATTTTATTTCCCCGGTGCCCTCCATATCTGATGGGCTTTCCCCTATCTGCCACCTGGGGAGGCGGTCCATGGAAGATCAGTATCTCCTCACAAGTGGCGTATAACACGCCCCCGCGTATAACACGCACCTCAATTTAAGAAGGAAATTTCAGGAAAAAAAACTAAACATTATATCGGCGTATAACACGCACACATGATTTGCCCCCTATTTTCGGGGAGAAAAAGTGCATGTTATACGCCAATAAATACGGTAATTACCAATGTTCATTTTAGATAGAATATTTATTGTCTTCAGAAATTGATCAGAAGTAAAACAGCATGCATTGGAATACAACACTGAATCTTTATTTACAGCACTGAATCTTTACTGAACCTTTTGCAAATTACATAAACTCTCAGCTGCTGTGCAATTTTAAACCAGTCAAATGACAAACAGTTCTTATTACCCTCTGAATGGTTGTTTTAGCACTGTGCAAAGACTCTGTTAATTCTTTCTCTTTCTAAAAAATATAAGAAAAGAAGGATGTTTTAAAAGAAAGAAACACTTACTAAGATAACTTTCTAAATGTATCTCAAAAAAAAATAAAAAATTAAATTTAAAAATATGCAGACCAAAGGGCATATGCCAAAATGATCTTACAAAAACGTGTGGTTCATATTTTGTATACTTTGCTTTACAGCTAATTTGTTCTTAACAAATTTCAGGATGATGACAGGCTTCTAACAGAATCGATTATTTCCGCTGCATTACTCAAAATGTTTTCCTTAACATTTTCCTTCATCTAAACCTGAGGTCATAACATGAAGCTGGACAGGCCCCATGCCACTGTCTACGAAATGAGCACATCACAAATGACATGAGAAATGGCCAAGTCACCAAAATATACAGAGAAGATTTCAATGGGTGGCAGGGGACAGTACCTTGTAGGCCATCTGAAGAGACTCTGCTGTTTTCTTGAGCTTCAACTCAGCCTCTGCCGCCATGGACTCCTTCTCCCTGGCGAATTCCGTGACTTCCTCCAGGCGAGATTTCAAGCTTAAGACCTGAGCCTGGGATGTGTCGTAGCGCTCAGCATAGTCAGTCTGTCCAGGGAATGGATGGAAGTAACCAGGTTATTCATACATGCGTTACATCAAGGCCTATCCAGCCTATTTAATTCAAGAATTTAAAACTTTATATGATAACAGCAAGTTTAACAATCTCAACCTTCTAACCTTAATCAGTGTTAGTTAGGCCAACACCCTGACAACATGCTTACAAGTAAAAGTGTATTATTATCTTTGATATTATGTTTGGTCATTATGTCCCTTTCCTGTGCACATGAAACTACAAGAAAAGATTATTTGACAACTTTTGTTAAAATAAGACAGGAAAAATTCTACATAAAAATGTTGGTGTTTTTTTTTCTAGTCATTACAGCTGAAAGAGCGACAGTTAACTGAAGTTGAGCTTTGTGTCCCTTTTCAGTGAACAAGGAGGTACAAAGCTTTAGCACTCACAGCTCTTATTTCCAGTCCTTGAATTTTCTGCTGCAGCTCTCTGATTTCTCTGTAACACAAGAGTTTCATTCGTTAACATCCAAACCCAGCTGAGGGGGATTTGAGTCTATTTTGAAGGGGGTCTGTGTCTATTCTGAAGGGGTCTGTGAATATTCTGAAAGGGGTCTGTGTCTATGGTGAAGGGGGTCTGTGTCTATTCTGAAGGGGTTCTGTGTCTATTGTGAAGGGGGTCTGTGTCTATTGTGAAGGGGGTTTGTGTCTATTCTGAAGGGGTTTGTGTCTATGGTGAAGGGGGTCTGTGTCTATTGTGAAGGGGGTATGTGTCTATTCTGAAGGGGTCTGTGTCTATTCTGAAGTGATTTTAAGTCTAGTCTAAAGGGGGTCTGTGTCCATTTTTAAGGGGGTATGTGTCTATTATGAAGGGCGTCTTTGTCTATTCTGAATGGGGACTTTGTCTATTCTGAAGGGCTTTTAAGTCTAGTCTAAAGGAGGTCTGTGTCCATTTTAAGGGGGTCTGTGTCTATTATGAAGGGTTTTTTTGTCTATTCTCAAGGGGGGTCTGTGTCTATTCTGGAGGGGGTTTGTGTCTACTCTGAAGGGGTTCTGTGTCTATTGTGAAGGGGGTCTGTGTCTATTGTGAAGGGGTCTGTGTCTATTGTGAAGGGGGTCTGTGTCTATTGTGAAGGGGGTCTGTGTCTATTCTGAAGGGGGTCTGTCTATTCTGAAGGGGGTCTGTGTCTATTCTGAAAGGATTTTAAGTCTAGTCTGAAGGGGGTCTGTGTCTATTCTGAAGGGGTTCTGTGTCTATTGTGAAGGGGGTCTGTGTCTATTCTTAAGGGGGTCTGTGTCTATTCTGAAGGGGGTCTGTCTATTCTGAAGGGGGTCTGTGTCTATTCTGAAAGGATTTTAAGTCTAGTCTGAAGGGGGTCAGTGTCTATTCTGAAGGGGTTCTGTGTCTATTGTGAAGGGGGTCTGTGTCTATTCTGAAGGGGGTCTGTGTCTATTCTGAAGAGGTCTGTGTCTACTCTGAAGGGATTTTAAATCTAGTCTAAAGGGGTCTGTGTCTATTATGAAGGGGGTCTTTGCCTATTCTGAACAGGGTCGGTGTCTATTCTGAAGGGGGTCCATGTCTATTCTGAAGGGGGTCTGTGTCTATTCTGAAGGGGTTCTGTGTCTATTCACATGGGCAGTCATCAAAACCATAAATGTTATTCCATCATATTTTAAACAATTTTGAACATGCTCCTCTCTCTGGTTAAGGGGAGATAAACTTCTAAGGTGGCTGCGTGGTACAGCAGGTAAGAACAAAGACTGTTTGGAGTTAACATCCAAGCAACATTTAACGACCACGCCAAATCTTTAAAAAATCCCACCCTCCCCCCAGCTAAACAGAATCTCAAAGGGAGGCTATCTATAGCAAAAAAAGGCAGGCTGCAGTCTGATTTTATCATGTCATTTATCGTGGGGTCATCTTGTTGCAACACATAATAAAACACCAAAAAATCCAGTGACATCCTGATACCAAATTTATAGTTACCAGGAAACTTGAGTAAGAATTTAATTATAAAAAATTTTGGAATCCTAGTAAGACTTTTTACAAATCAATTCCTCATCACATATTGTAGAAATGACCCAATAACACAACGTCAGTTTTTGTTGATCCTCAGCTAATCCTCAGAACTCAATAAATTAACATGTCTGGATGTTGTAACCAACACAATTCTCACTTACACTTTAGCATCATGAAGCACATCCTGATATTCTTGACATTTCTGGCGAAGTTCGTGGTTTTCATTGGCCAGAATTTTCTCCCCAGCAGAAATGCCTGAAAGGCCGCCATCCCCACCGCCCCTTTCTTGCCTGGCCATCAGCATCTGACGCATTTCCCTGAGCTCCTCCTCATAGTAGGCCTTCAGATCAGCCAGATGTTTTGCGTGTTTCTCACGCAAGCCGATTCTCGTCCTGAAATAGGAAAAAATGCCATTAAAAAAATAAAACAAATGTTGAAACGGCCACCCACACTATAAAACATAAACCTGCCCACCCACACTATAAAACATAAACCTGCCTACCCACACTATAAAACATAAACCTGCCTACCCACACTATAAAATATAAACCCGCACACCCACACTATAAAACATAAACCCGCACACCCACACTATAAAACATAAACCTGCCTACCCACACTATAAAACATAAACCTGCCCACCCACAATATAAAACATAAACCTGCCTACCCACACTATAAAACATAAACTTGCCTACCCACACTATAAAATATAAACCTGCCTACCCACACTATAAAACATAAACCTGCCTACCCACACTATAAAACATAAACCTATATCCATATTACAATTTGTTTTAATGAAGCAGGGTCATGTGAAACAATGAATGCTTCCTGAAGAAGTTAAATATAGAGAAAACAAATTTCTTTCTCTTCCAGTTTCAAATCAGTGAACCCCGTCATGTCAAAAATAAATTCTCAGAATCTCCCAATTATTTTGTAGCATAAATTAGCACATATACCTTGCCATTACATTTAACAATGAGCAACTATTGCCTTTCACCAAGAGAAAATCCTAATACTACAGTAGGGCTCTCGGTGAAAAAATGTTCAAACATATATATTCAACTCTTCATGGTAACCTGAGGTAATTTGGTCACCTGGGAGACAAGACATCATCAGAGTCACCAAGTGACTGTTCACTTGACACGGGCCTCGGGTGCGGTGCGGGTTCATCGGCAGGACGGGTGCGTGCGTCAAAGGCCCAATGGACGGAGTTACGGGTGACATCTTCACAAGGAGAGCTGCGATGTGTGTCATCATAAGACTTACTCGCTCTTGGGGACTTCTGGGTAAACAGTAAAAAGTCATTTCAACAGATTTTAGGTACCCGGTCTAAATTTATTTACAAAATAAGATTTTAAGAACATATTTTCACAAATAAATAAAGGTGCTCTATAAGGTAGGCTGTAATTCATAGTTAAAAAGGGCTGCTTATTTTTTAACCTTCCTATTAACTTTGCTTTTGTTTGCGGCTTCCTGTCAAACTATTGAGCTGAAACTTGGCACATAGACTTGTTGCAGATGACAACACTTTCTATCAAATTTTCAGCCCCAAATATCCTTTTTGAGCATTAGAAGTTTTACAATATCAGAAGATAACTTTTAATATTCCTCAATATTTTCAAGTGATGTTGAATGGCAGGGAGTGGGGTAATATCTAATAATATAATAATAATCTATACAGGGACTGTATTTTTTTTAAAAATATAAGATAAATGCAAAAAATAAATGAATAAATCCTCCAAATTAATTAGAGTATGATTGGCAACTATAGCGAAATGACATATACAAGACGTGCCGTTTTGTTAGCTGCCGAGCCAGTACTAGCCACATATTGGGTGTGTATTCTCTATTAAACTGCCCCAGATAAATCATTGCCAGAACAAAATTTCAGTGATAACAAGGAACACTTTTATTAAATTTTTAAATTTATTTATGTTCATTTACCCCCAGGATTTTAAGTTGTTTTTTTATACCCCAGTTGTATATTTAATCCTTGCTTACAAAATAACTTCTCACCTTGTGCTTAACCTTGGCAATGGGCATAGGACTGCTGTAAACTCCGCCCCTTAACTGCTTGTCTCCGCCCACTGACAGCCGAGACAAGTTGAGTGATGTGTCAGCAGGCTTAGATGGTGACAACAGCTCTTTCTCTAATGACCTCTTCACTGGCAGCTCATCAGATGACACTAGAAAAAGTGTAGTTCTATTTATTGCCTTTACTTTATAGATATTTGTTCATTGTTTATCTAAATTTGGATTTCAAAAAGTTGTCGACAATGTTTTAACCATGTTTCCAGCAATCATTTTTTTTAACAATTTCAAATGACAAAAACATTAAACATGTCAAGGATGAGCTGATTAACACATGTCAAGGATGAGCTGATTAATACATTTCAAGGATGAGCTGATTAACACATTTCAAGGATGAGCTGATTAATACATTTCAAGGATGAGCTGATTAATACATTTCAAGGATGAGCTGATTAATACATTTTAAGGATGAGCTGATTAACACATTTTAAGGATGAGCTGATAAATACATTTTAAGGATGAGCTGATTAACACATTTCAAGGATGAGCTGATGGACTTACTGCGCTCATGGTAGCTCTGCAGATATCGTGTCAATGGAGGTGGGTTCCTCAGGGACACAGGCACTCCCATCAGCGTGGTTTTGCTGGAGCTGCCATTCACGTGCTCACCTGCATGGTGATCTTGGTGATCTTCCTGGTTCAGTGAGTCCTCATCATCATATCTACGAGACTGATTAATATTCTCCAGATCACTGACAACCTTTTCTCCATGGCGTCGGGGGGACAGCTCCTCCAAGATCTAAATGGCAAATAACTCCAACATTATATACTGGGCATCCTGGTTGTCTAATACTATACACGTGTCAATAAAATAGCACAAAATTCCGTCCATGGCAGAACAATTATCAACAACCAAAATTAAATTAAAACTTCACATCAGTGCACTGGATGAACTCAACTTTTGAACAAACAGACTCTCAACTCCCTAGCAGTAAATCTTCCACTCATACTGAGCCAAACAGACTCTCAACTCCCTAGCAGTAAATCTCCCACTCATACTGAGCCAAACAGACTCTCAACTCCCTAGCAGTAAATCTCCCACTCATATTGAGCCAAACAGACTCTCAACTCCCTAGCAGTAAATCTCCCACTCATATTGAGCCAAACAGACTCTCAACTCCCTAGCAGTAAATCTCCCATTCATATTGAGCCAAACAGACTCTCAACTCCCTAGCAGTAAATCTCCCACTCATATTGAGCCAAACAGACTCTCAACTCCCAAGCAGTAAATCTCCCACTCATACTGAGCCAAACAGACTCTCAACTCCCTAGCAGTAAATCTTCCACTCATACTGAGCCAAACAGACTCTCAACTCCCTAGCAGTAAATCTCCCACTCATATTGAGCCAAACAGACTCTCAACTCCCAAGCAGTAAATCTCCCACTCATACCGAGCCAAACAGACTCTCAACTCCCTAGCAGTAAATCTCCCACTCATACTGAGCCAAACAGACTCTCAACTCCCTAACAGTAAATCTCCCACTCATATTGAGCCAAACAGACTCTCAACTCCCAAGCAGTAAATCTCTCACTCATACTGAGCCAAACAGACTCTCAACTCCCTAGCAGTAAATCTTCCACTCATACTGAGCCAAACAGACTCTCAACTCCCTAGCAGTAAATCACCCACTCATTTTGAGCCAAACAGACTCTCAACTCCCAAGCAGTAAATCTCCCACTCATACTGAGCCAAACAGACTCTCAACTCCCTAGCAGTAAATCTCCCACTCATACTGAGCCAAACAGACTCTCAACTCCCAAGCAGTAAATCTCCCACTCATACTGAGCCAAACAGACTCTCAACTCCCTAGCAGTAAATCTCCCACTCATACTGAGCCAAACAGACTCTCAACTCCCTAGCAGTAAATCTCCCACTCATACTGAGCCAAACAGACTCTCAACTCCCTAGCAGTAAATCTCCCACTCATACTGAGCCAAACAGACTCTCAACTCCCTAGCAGTAAATCTCCCACTCATACTGAGCCAAACAGACTCTCAACTCCCTAGCAGTAAATCTCCCACTCATACTGAGCCAAACAGACTCTCAACTCCCTAGCAGTAAATCTCCCACTCATACTGAGCCAAACAGACTCTCAACTCCCTAGCAGTAAATCTCCCACTCATACTGAGCCAAACAGACTCTCAACTCCCTAGCAGTAAATCTCCCACTCATACTGAGCCAAACAGACTCTCAACTCCCTAGCAGTAAATCTCCCACTCATACTGAGCCAAACAGACTCTCAACTCCCTAGCAGTAAATCTCCCACTCATACTGAGCCAAACAGACTCTCAACTCCCTAGCAGTAAATCTCCCACTCATACTGAGCCAAACAGACTCTCAACTCCCTAGCAGTAAATCTCCCACTCATACTGAGCCAAACAGACTCTCAACTCCCTAGCAGTAAATCTCCCACTCATACTGAGCCAAACAGACTCTCAACTCCCTAGCAGTAAATCTCCCACTCATACTGAGCCAAACAGACTCTCAACTCCCTAGCAGTAAATCTCCCACTCATATTGAGCCAACTACGACATGAAAGAGTTGTAAGAAGCCACTCACTTCCCTATGGGAAGACAACCTTTTCTTCAGGGTCTCCTGCTGTTTGGTGAGTTCCCTCTCCATGTTCCTCTGCATCTCCTGCAGGATCTTCTGGTGCTCCTGGTACTGAGACTGGAGGTCACATTTGTGCTGCTCTTCGATCATCTTGAACATGTCCAGCCAGCTGACCTGTAAGAATTTTGAATCCATCAAATGAATTAAGGAAACTACTTTAAAAGCTACAGGGTAATATGTCGCATCCAGGGTCATCACGTCACTCCACTACTTCACTCCCTTCATTGGTTCCCTATACAGATGTGCATTGATTACAAGCTGTCTGTTTTCTGTCACAACTTTTTCTCTGTTTTTGCCCTTCCTATCTTACTGAACTTCTTACTGTCTATTCACCCCTTTCGAAAGCATAGTTTCTCCACAGACACACATGTTCTTTCTGTTCCAAGAACACACACTAACACTAAAACATATGGTGAACGATATTTCTCTTTCTGTGCCCCAAAACAATGGAATTCTCTCCAATTACACATCCGCAACATAACGACTATCACAGCCTTAAAAACTGCCTTCAAAATTGCCCTCAAGACCCATCTCTTCAAACTCTACTATACCACCTCATTCTCACCACCCTCCGACTGATAAACAACACCCGATTCTGCTGGGTGCTGTCCATGGCTAGACCAGGGTAAATAGTACTTGGATGGGTGAGGTCAAGCTTTTCACAAATTGTTGTTTATGAATGTATACGTTTCTGTAATTGCTAATTTTTATGTGAAGCGCAGTGAACCTAGCCCTAGGCTGATGTACTGCAGTGAGTCTAGCCCTACGCTGGGGTACTGAGCAGTGAGCCTAGCCCTAGGCTGATGTACTGCAGTGAACCTAGCCCTAGGCTGATGAACTGCAGTGAGCCTATCCCTAGGCTGGGGTACTGCAGTGAACCTAGCCCTAGGCTGGGGTACTGAGCAGTGAGCCTAGCCCTAGGCTGGGGTACTGAGTAGTGAGCCTAGCCCTAGGCTGGGGTACTGAGTAGTGAACCTAGCCCTAGGCTGACGTACTGCAGTGAACCTAGCCCTAGGCTGATGTACTGCAGTGAACCTAGCCCTAGGCTGGGGTAATGAGCAGTGAGCCTAGCCCTAGGCTGGTGTACTGCAAGTGAGTCTAGCCCGAGGCTGGGGTACTGAGTAGTGAACCTAGCCCTAGGCTGACGTACTGCAGTGAACCTAGCCCTAGGCTGATGTACTGCAGTGAACCTAGCCCTAGGCTGGGGTAATGAGTAGTGAGCCTAGCCCTAGGCTGATGTACTGCAGTGAGTCTAGCCCTACGCTGGGGTACTGAGCAGTGAGCCTAGCCCTAGGCTGATGTACTGAGCAGTGAGCCTAGCCCTAGGCTGATGTACTGCAGTGAACCTAGCCCTAGGTTGATGTACTGCAGTGAACCTAGCCCTAGGCTGGAGTACTGAGCAGTGAACCTAGCCCTAGGCTGGAGTACTGAGCAGTGAACCTAGCCCTAGACTGGGGTACTGCACTTTATAAAACCACCTAATAATAATAATCTAAATATTAGAATTTCAAGTAGAAAAATAATCATATGTCCTGATCTATTGAAATAATCCATTATGCTGGTATATTAAAATAAATATGTGAATTGGTCCTTAGAATAGTTGTGGGCTTTGGACTTTTAAAATGACTGTACTATTTCAGTAATCATGTGTGAGGGTCTATTGAAATAATCATGTGTGAGGGTCTATTTAATTAATCATGTGTGATGGTACATTTAAATAATCATGTGTGAAGGTCTATTTAATTAATCATGTGTGATGGTACATTTAAATAATCATTTGTGAGTGTCTATTTAAATAATCATGTGTGAGGGTCTATTTAAATAATCATGTTATGGTACATTTAAATAATCATGTGTGAGTTGTTTTTTTTCATAATCATTTGTGAGTGTCTATTTAAATCATGTGTGAGGGTTTAATTACATAATCATATGTGTCTACTTAAATAATCATGTGTGAGGGTCTATTTAAGAAATCATGTGTGATGGTACATGTATTTAAAAAAAATATAAGTATGGATGTTTTATCTATCAGAATAATCATGTGTGCTGGTTTATTGATTAAAAAATCTTTCTTACCTGTTGGTCATGGAGAGTTTTAAACTTGGGAACAGTGACAGACTCGTGTGCATCTTGTCTTGGGATCCCGCGCTCAATGTGTGTGTAACGTGTCGACAGCCTGGATGTGTCACCTGAACTCGTATTGGCTGACCTGGGTTGTTATTTGTTTAAAATCAGAGTAGAACTTGTAAAATCAATATTTGTCTTGAGTTTTATTTATTTAATTTCAAATGGATAATTCTTTAAAATTATCTGTTAATTATTGGTGTCCTATCTGCAAAAGATACAAATCTAGACACTTTATCTTCCTACAAATCTAGACACTTTATCTTCCTACAAATCTAGACACTTTATCTTCCTACAAATCTAGACACTTTATCTTTCTTGATGACCTCTAACTTCCAATGTCATTTTAAGATTTGATGCATTCAAACTGACAATGGCACGCTGTGCCAAGCATCTACTTTTCTAATTCATGTCATTTTATGCCAAATGACATCTTGCTAACATTAAAACCAACATGGCATGATCAAGTGACATCTTACTAATATTTAAAAACTAACATGGCATGGTCAAGTGACATCTTACTAATGTTTAAAAACTAACATGGCATGTCAAGTGACATCTTGATGCATATGAATAACAACAACTCACCTGTAATAACTGCTGTCACCTCTAGACCTGTTGCCCCTACTGTCTGTATATGAACTTCCCCTGTGAAGTGCCTGGTTGTAGTTTCTAGAGCATGCCAATCTTGAGCCGACATAGCAATGAACCCCGTGCTCGTGAGAGTGGCCCCCATAAGTAGGGCTGCTGTAGGCTGTTGAGGAATGGTAGGTCCTGAAAGAGATTTACAGCATGTAAATAAGAGACAAGATAGACTTAGATGGAAGAAGGAGGGACTGTATGTAAAGCCATCTTGCACTAAAAGAGAGCCAATGTTACAAGGGAAGATTAGGAAGAATATCTTTTTAGAGACAATTTGTCACAATATTTATAATGATAAATTATAAGGGAATCTCTTAAAGAAATACAGTACAGCCGTTCGTTAATTTTTTGGAAGAATTATTTTAATTTTTCTGCTTTTACCTTAACAAACTTAAATAACATAAACCATAATATGATGAGATGGTGATTTATGAAATTTAATTTTTTAATTCTTGTCATCGGAAGTTTCAGATTTATATTTAAAAATATTCTAGTTTTTAATCAAACATTTCTTGAAGAAAAACATTTTTTTTTCATCTAAAGATAATAATTGATGGACTGCATTCAAGTTGTGTAAAAGAAATATACGAAAAAAAAAAAAAAAATAATGGACTCAGGTAGCATTTCAACAGTTAACATATTTAAAAATATTCTAGTTTTTAATCAAACATTTCTTGAAAAAAAACATTTTTTTTTCATCTAAAGATAATAATTGATGGAATGCATTCAAGTTGTGTAAAAGAAATATACGAAAAAAAAAAAAAAAATAATGGACTCAGGTAGCATATCAACAGTTAACATACACTAATGTGTACATACCTCTCAGGCATCTGCTGAGCGGCTCTAAAATTAGCACCGTTCCTGTGGGTTTCCCTGACATAATGGAAATCATCACCATGATGCCTGTAGTTTGCATTGTTGCTTGTGTCCTTTTCTTGATGTTCCTCTTCACCATTGTTGTTGTTGTTATTACTTGAATGGACATCAGAGACCAGAGCGGTCTCCTCTGTGCTCTCTTCACTAACATCGGGTTGCAGCTCAAAGAACCTAGCAAGGGTACAAGCAAAATCAATGGCTTTAAAGTCGTTGAAGGATTACATTGGATCATGTGTATAAGGTAAGTGAGTTCTAAAACTTTGTCAGTGGTAAGCGGATGGTCAATGGTACACAGAGAATTAATCATACATGGCGGGGATCGTAATGCACATCATGATACAGTTCCATGGAATTGGGTCATGGTCAATGACATCTAAGCTACTGATGGATTGCATAGGATCATGTGAAATAAGTATCCAGAGTTATATAGCTTGTCAGTGTTAAAAAAAGTGATCAAATGTACAGAGAGAGATTCAATCCTACATGGAATGGATCAGTGATGACCTCTGTATCCATCCTAACATAGATACAAGGAAGGGGGTCAAGGCTGATGACATCTTAAGTTACTGATGATTATATAGCATCATGTGTTTTAAATATCTGATTTCGCTAACAAGTTAGTGTTCAATAAATGATAAAAAGTAGACAGAGAATCAATCGTACATGTAGGGAATCAGTGATGCAGTGTCCAAAATCATACAGAAGAGGATCATATTAAGGATCATTTGCATTTAACAATGTCCCCCATGCTATTAAGTTTTGATCTTAATTGGCAGGCCAGGAACCAGGTTATTATTTTTAGCATAAATTTTCTTAAGCTAATGGGTGCTAATAAAGTCTGTCAAAATTAAAAGTAAGGCTTTTTATACAAAGAACTTTATACACTTTATTTACTTTTCAAACCAATGTGAAAATGCTAAAATATTGTTAATTAAATACTTTTAAATAAATATAAAATAAATAGATATTTAAAATTATACACAGGAGGATCCTGAATAATTTTTTTCTTTTTTTAATTGATACAAAATTTTCAATAACTTACTTCTTGATTTTGTGTTTTTGTGTCCCGTCTGGCTGCACTAGTTCCTCTCCTGTCAAGATCATGGAAACAAACATCAGAACAGCATCAAATACCTATGCAAAATTATTTCACTTGCATACATCTTCAAAAAAAAATTTTGTATTGAATTACAAATAAATAAATCAGAAAAGAGCATTTAAAAAATGCCCAATTCCATTTTTTAAAAGTGTTTCACAACAGAATATCTGGGATATAGGTGGGGAAAAAACAAAAACAAGGACAATTTATAAAATCTTAATTATATATATATATACATACATACATATATATATATATATAATAATTTAATACCTTACTATATTATTATAAATATATAGATATATATATATATAATTAATTAATTATATATGTGATATATTATGTAAGTGAATTAGTATGAAATTGTTATTTTTTAAAATTGTGGTAAACTAAAACAATATGTAAATTTCATGCTTCCTGATTTAAATATTTTGATTAGTCTTTTTTGTAGGTACAGATTTCTATTAAATGGAAGGCTGGATATGGCTTTTTTCCCCTCCAAATTAATCAATTAAGCTCAAATATAACAAAGCCATTTTCCCACAAACAATAATGTAATAGAGGGACAGAAAGAATGCAAAGCAAATATAACAATTTTAAGCCATGAAAATACACATACATGTATTCAAATCACGCCTCTGGTAAGCAGACCATAAGATCATACAAGAATGAATTGAACATTGTGAAGCACATGCATAAGTTTATTTAACATAAGAAATAGTCCTTATTTCTATCACATTACTGGGAGATGCAAAACTTGATATGGAGCTTAATAAAGAAACAAACAAAACAAAAAATAGAGGGGATAACAATAGGAATAAAATAGAAGGCAAAACAAAAGCCTCACTCAAATTGAAAAACTCAGGATCTAAAAAATAATTGTGGAAGAATTCATTTCAGATGAATTTACAATTAATTTATATAAGTACAAATTTTTTAAAAAGTTTTAAGAACAACTCAGATCCAAATTGGCATGATATAACTTGGATAAGTATTTGCCAGGAAGCACTTCATAATAATTTTGCTTTACAAATGAAACATGCAATGGTTGCATTACATAAGCATGCTGGATTACTGCACAATGAAAACAAAAGTGATGGTTGACATTTAAAACCAATACCAAAACAACTTAGATTTTAATATAAACCCACCAAGGACATTATTGCTATATGTCTCCATATTTCTTAATCATCTAGAAATTAATGATTAGCTCATTTGAAATTTACAAAGATTAGAATTCACAAAATGTGATTCTTGTTCACAAAAGTCTTTAAAAAATTTCTTTGAAAGGATGCACAGATATTTTTATATTCAAAATATATTTTTAAAAATTCCCTTTTATGTATGTGGTTTAAAGTTACTATGGCTATTGGCTATCTAACAGTACCTCGTAAAGTTTTCCAAATATTGTGCCCCCCCCCCACCCCTTTAAAAATAGTAAAAATCCATTTTAACTCTTCTCCAAAGCTCTGAAAGCATTTTTTTGGTGTAAAATCTCCTTTATTCCAAGTCAGGAAACAATGCCATAGACTAGAAACATTTATTGGATATTTATTTCACACTGCAGTAATCAAGCACCCAAGCTATAATCATACAAATGATTGTACTATGTGCAGTCAGGGTGAACAGTCAACAGATATTTGCTGGAGAAGCCACAGTGAAATAGCATGGTTGTACAGTAAACAGAAAAGATATTCCCTGAACGAGTCAACATGAAATGGAATGGGTGTTCAGTAAACAGATATTTGCTGAATGAGCCAAATTAAACCAGGTTTGGGTGAATAGTAAACAGGTATTTCCTGAATGAGCCAAGATGAAATGGAATGGGTTTTCAGTAAACAGGTATTTGCTAAATGAGCCAGGGTATAACAGGTTGGGTGTACAAAAAACAGATATTTAATGAATGAGCCAAAGTATGGGAGCATGGTACAAACATTAATTTCCATCCTACTTACTATCAGCTGCCCGCAGAGGATCGTCTCCCCTCTTCCATTCACCACAGAGAACATCTCCCACAAATTCTTCATCCTTCCTGGCACTGCCATGACCTGCACGCCTGGTCCATGCTGTGTTTTGATATCTCTGACCTTCCTGGTGTCGCGATCTTGAAATTAAGTCAACTGCAGCATCATCATCCTCTGTGTAGTCCATCATTATTGGGACCCCTTTATCCGTGATGAAAAAGCTCTGGTCACTCCTCAGAAGTCTATCTTGAGCCACATGTTCTGAATGGTCACTGTCACTCTCAGAGCTCATGTTTTCCATCACATCATCAGTTTCTACACCAGCTGGCCATCCCATCTGGGTATGAAACTCTGCTTTTTCAGTCAATGAGTTTTTTGCAGTGTCGTGGGTGTCGTCTTGGACTCTGTGATCACTTCCACATTCTTGCTGGGCAAGAAAACCCGTTCTGGTCAAGGTTACCTCGGAACTGGTGACAGTGGTTTTAGCATCTTTAAAGCACACAATCTGCTCACCAGTTTCTAAGATGAGACACTCCTCAACTCCAGGCTGCAGCTACACAGAAACAATTCGCAATATGAGCTGCTTTTCAATTACATGTTAATCTGTTTACTGGGATTCATTCCCTTCTAATACGCAATCAGCCATTTCCAAAGCAATAATTTATGTTATACCATTTTATAATGACTGTGCACACAATACAAAAATATAAACATTGGTCCAACCTTTAAATGCATAAAAATTTATTTGTTTCAAAACCTATGTTAGTTTTATTCAGTGGTTGAGCAGTTTAAACTTTCTGTGACGGTTTATTAAGTTCCACACTTAATGTTTGCTTCCTTTTTCTAATCAGACCCTGACCTCTTTAATATCCCCCTTATTTCCAGCATCCTAATCCCAGACCTGTTTACTCTTACGATTTTGGCGTACAATGTACGATTTTGAGGTGTAAACATATATACTGTATACTTATTTTTTACTCTAAATATAAGGTATTGAACGATTTTGTGATGATATTGTACGATTTTAAGAGTTAGAGGGTAAACAGGTCTGTAATCCCCATACTCCTGTCATTTCATATGTTGTCTGTCTCCCATAATACATATTTCTTTCTAAGCCAAACTCATCATACTCATACTTTCACTCTAGCTCCATAATTAATGTTGCAAAGCAGCATGTTCCCCAAATTTGTTGAAGCACACACCCCTTTGGATACAATGATATTGCCAGGATACACCTCTTCAGATAAGAATAATTGGAGACATGGGAAGGTAATAATGCACCATGGCAGATTAAATTATCTTAAATAAAATGCTCTTAAAAATCAAATAAAATGTAACAAATATTTATATAAATAAGAGAAATGTGCATTAAAATATGGAAACAAATGTAATATAAATATTTTAATAAACAAGGAGGAAAATAAAAATCCCCTTTTGTAGGTGCATGTGCATCATAATTTGGGAAACACTGTTCATCATGACCAACCTCTCTACAAACTTTATAGTTCTGATAGTTGAGTGGGTAATCCTTGCTTGTTAGACGTGGACTGTCCATCATGGGATTCCTCCTATCAACCCCATTCCCATCAATGTGTATGGATGTGTTAGGCTCTGTGACAGTTCCATGGCCTGGCAGATAATACAAGCCAACTCATGTACTCTTGAATGAATCACGCTGTCTAACATGCCATCCCGCCATAAAACTTGACATTTTTCTTTTCAATGACCAAAAATGTACACAATTTTTTTGTCTTCATAAAACTATGAATACTTAGTCAACATTGACGAAATGGCAGCATTTTTTAAAATATTTAACAATACTCATATTTTTAATTAAGCCAGTGGAACTGTGGATTATCCCAAACTGGTTGTTTGGAGATGGTAAAGAATTCTCAGGTCTAATAATCATCTCCCTCCTTTTTGTGAGAGACATTGTTTTCATAAGTGTGCAGTTAAGTCTAAAACTCAAGCTCTTTTTCTGTACTTGGGGACTACTAAGAACAGGCAGACTAAAGTGGTAATGTGAAGGAAGTACAACTCACAAATGGTGTGTACAATTGGCTTATTTTTGTTAAGTACAAATATATTGAGAAGAAAATTCCTCTTAACATTATAACTTAGTTAATATAATTAACACAGAAACATTCAGAGTTTAATAAAAAAACAAACAAATGAAAAGCAAATTTTAGATTAGTAAGTCAGACATTTCACCTACATTACAATAACTAAGAAAACCACATTCAGAATTGGTTCTTTTTAAAGATCATAATATTAGCTTGATTCACCAACTACTCCCAGAAAACAAAAATGTTAAGGATATTAACAGTGAACTTCAAAAGAAAATATAATTTCTGCCTATTCAACTATACTGAAAAATGCTGCTCAGGTGAGCCTTGTTTGGAAGTAAACCAAAGGAAAGTTCAAACCAATCTTTGATTTTACTTCTTGGTGGCCTAATTTCCAGGTGTTGCAGATGAAGGGTACAGAACTATTTCTTTCTTCCTTTTTTTTTTTTTAAAGATTGAACATATTATTTTTATGGCACTTTAAAATAGCCAAGAATAAAAATGTAGTAGGCTATACAGTGTAAACACAACTTTTTTATCAATAAAAAAATCTTAAAGTAAAAAAGTACAAAAAGAAGGAGGAAAATATTAAACCATGTCCACGACAAATATTGAAGGTCTCCCTTGAAAACAAAAAAATGGGATAGCAACAATGATATCCAATAAATATAAGTAAGAAGCTTACTTAACCCTCTTGAGACGGCTGGAGTTTAATGGTGAAGAAGACAAATAATAAATGCCTCCGCATTGGCTGGCTGGTCTTTGTACCAGTTAATCAGATTGCTTCTCTCATTTCTTGCTCATCTCGCTATTTTAATGGCGACTTCCACTGATAGTGTATGGTGTACTGTCATTTTATATTTATATCAATTTTTTTTTTGTACCTAATGACCCTTAAAGAGTCTTTAAAAATATGTTATGTAAGCAGCCCCAAGGGAATATTTTATGCAATTGTTCACACTGAATCTCATTCAAATAGAGGTTAGAACTTATTTAGGCTTCAATAATCATAAAATTTAACACAATTCTGCAAGTAAGACTTATTTATTCTAAGTTAAAAAGAATTCATGCTTTAATTATGCAAAGCAATATATCTCATTTGCATAAATGTTGAGGTTTCAGTTTGATTCATAAAGATCTTATTAGTTCATTCAATTCCCTACAAGATTATATATAGTTTTATATTTGTAAAATAGTTTTTTTTAATTTTTAATTTGTATCTAAATAAGTGAAGGGCTTGTGACAAGGGTTCCGTCTTCTTGGCACCGACAGTCCAAAAAGGCTCCATCTCAAGAAGGTTAATGAAGTACAATTCTTACCTTAGAAAATATTAACTTTGAACAACCAAAACAAAAACGTTTTTAAATTTAACTTACCCGCCACATCACTCGGCAGTGCCTCAACTTGATCATCATCTAAATCCTCCTCACTGGCTTTAGGATTATCTCCTCCACCTGCATCATCCTTGTTTACATCCTGTTGTCCCTCATCGTCCGTCTCCAAGTCAACAATATCAAGGGCAGGAAAGTATGGATGGTCTCTTGGCTTTTTTGATTCTCCTGTGCTCGAGACACCCTCCTGACTGTGATGTTTGCTTGCATTAGTTTTTTCAGTTCCAAAGAAATCATCCAACTCATGATCTGATGATGAGTCAAGCTGTGTATTGTGATTTTCCTGGGGGTGTGTAATTGTTGGAGATTGTGATGTCTCTACTGTATCCCCTTCATTTGCTCTAGCAGTTACTTCATTGGGCGAAGATGACATCTCTTTGTATTCATCTTCATCTAAAATGTTCAAAAGAGAGAGATTAAGTTAATATGAAACAGACAACAGCTTCCTATGAAGGTTTTGGCTCCCCGGTGCTCCACTTGATAAGCCTGTGTTGGCTAACCGATTGGGAGGCGTCAGCCACCGGACCCCCTTGATGAACGCCATGGGAACAAGATCACCTTTGCGTGTCCTGCGTGGGCAGACAAGGTACATGGATGGTACATGCCAGACATAAAACAGCACCTATAGGGCTGCCAACTGTGAAGTTTTACATTTGGAAGCAAAGGCAGAGACAGGGTAGGGATCATGATTACAAGTTGCCGCAAATGGATATGAAGCAAGAGGCTAAGGTGGAAGCCTCTAGCCGATGATACGCAGCCCTGAGAAAGCTGCTCCTAGGCAACTGTTTCAACCAAGCTACTTCGCAAACTAGTTGCGGGGTGGAAACCCACTGTAGAAGCCTCCTTAAAGGGCATCCGCCGCTTCCCCGGGATGGGTGGGGGCAGATATTAGGATGTTAAAGAACCATCCCGACTCCCTGGAAGTGTTGGCTGTGGATGCTTTAAACGCAGGGTTTTCTGCCGACCAGACATACCCGGGCGGGGAGGCCTCCATCTGTAAATCCAATCGAGCGGGTGCGGGTGGGGGCGGCCCAGGCCGTGGGAGGTACCTGGTGTGCCGCCGCACTTTCGGGCATCGGGGAGACCCGGCGTTTGGGCCCAGTGGTGGTGCCTTGGGGAGGGCATTAAGAGCTCTAACTCAACAGCCCGCTGACGCCATTTCCCAATGTAACATTTTCAGAAGGTTTTGGAGTCAGAAATAAAACTATGACTGATATATTTGCAGGTTGTTTTTTTCCATTGTAGAGAAATTAAGCTATAAATATCCTCATCAATTCTAACTTTTAAAGACATTTTTTTCCATCACAAATTATATCAAGACATATAAATTGCACAATGTTAAATGACTTTATGTTTGTATTTCTGTTGATAAAAAATGAAAAGTTTGTGTAATAAACTTTGTCATGAGGTGTAGATAATAAAGTAATATTACATATATAAAGGAGCTAGTGTAACTAACTTTTTTTTATACCTTTTATGATATTATTATTCTCAACACCAGGCTCGTCTTCTTTCTCGACATTATTTTCAGATAAAATTTCAGCATTTTGTTCTCTATGAACTTCAGAACTTTCAACAGGCAGTTCATATGAGCTAATATGAACTGATGAACTTTGAGAATGCTGATCGTGATTAATGTCTCTTAAATGTGTTTCACCACTGTCATCATCCACATCCTCTTTATCTTCATTAGTAAAGATGGCCTGGTTGGTCTCCACTTCCTTGGAATCACCACTTCCAGTAACATCTTCCAACTCATTCACTTGATTAGGTTCATTCTGTCTGGCAATATCATCTGCTTCACCAGATAAGATGTGTCCATTTTCTTTACTTTTTTCCTCTGCTTCAACATCTTTTAACATATCATTGTCATTACATTCATCATCAGGGCTCTCAACATCTAATGGAAGTTTCTCTAATAGTTCATTTTGGTCATTTTCTTCAACATTGGTATCATTTGAATCCATCTTGGTTGCTAAAAATAAAATTAAACACCAAATTAGATGTATTTTGTATGGCTGAATGTAATTTGGAAGGACAAGGGAGTTAAGGATTTAAATAAAGCATATGAACAGGAGTTCCATAAATGTAAAGAGTTCAAAAAGAGTGGGGGGGGGGGGGGGGGGGGGATGGGAATGAGAAAATACTGTGACCCACTTTGATTACCGGTACAGGTACTTAGGAAGATTATGCTACATTCAAGTAACTATTTTTTGTTTCAGTTAGTAGTTAGCATTTACCCTGTTTATAGTTTCATCTTTTTAAATTTAATTAATAAGATTAACCCAGAGAAGATCAACCATGATTAAATAGCCTGCCCTGGCTAGTGCTTTTATTTTTATAATTTCTCCTCAATTTTTTTCACCTTTCTTTTGAGTGAACCAAATGTGTAAACAGTGCAAAAGAAAGTTGGCATGTTTCATGTTTAATTCACATGTTCATATTATTAAGTGTAATAGTGTAATGTGCTTGCCATTTAGCATGAAACCAAAAGTGAGTTAAGGGTTTAACTGTTTGGTTAATTTTGGGTTAGCAGGAAGGCTGGTGATGTTTTCCACAGTACATAGGTCTCTGAGGTTCCCCTAGGTCATCTTCCGTCTATATCGCTGTATTAAAAAGATTTTTATTTTTATGTTTGTGTTCACTAAATACAAGTTCTTTTTTTTTTTTTTCTTTTTAGATAGTAGGGGGATGGGTTCTGGAGAGATCTTTCCCCTCCACAGAAGATTTTCCACAGTACATAGGTCTCTGAGGTTCCCCTAGGTCATCTTCCGTCTATATCGCTGTATTAAAAAGATTTTTATTTTTATGTTTGTGTTCACTAAATACAAGTTCTTTTTTTTTTTTTTTTCTATTTAGATAGTAGGGGGATGGGTTCTGGAGAGATCTTTCCCCTCCACAGAAGAGTACTTTGTTTCTTATTTTGGTAATGAAAGTGGGAGTAAAACTATAGTGAAATGTCCAGTGAAATTATAGAAATCATCAGGTACTTTTGTATAAAAAAACATTTTGATCTTTCAACTTTTGCACATGACTAATTAATTAATTAAAACTTGCCCTGACCAATGGTTTAATAGTGTTTGTACACTGCAAGCTCTAATGAATGAGATTTTGCACACTGAAAATTAGGATAATTTATAAATAGCCACAGTCAGGCATTTTCATTGAGCCTTCTTTGGTCAACAATAAATTGTCCATCAGTCAGTGTCAGAAATAATTTAATTAAATGAATTTAATGGAAATAAAAAATTTATAAAATTTGTAGATGTAGAGTCTATATTTTATTTTTGTGTTCACTTGATACTGGTTCATGATAACTTACAGTGGTAATGAGCCAGAATGAGATTAAGACCAAATCATAATCATGCCGATGACTTGCTGTGACTTGCTTATACTTATGAATCTAGTCGTAGTACGAGTTTGTAGTTTGTCAGGCCTAAACTAATAAAATTCAAAATAAAAAATGTTGGGCATGAAGAAACAAAAATTCGCGAACTTCGATCAACTATTTATTCTGTTCATATTTCAAATGTATTAAATTATATATAAATGTACTGATTGTTTATGATTTTTGGCAAGTTCTGTTCTTTTTAAGGTTTAAAATCTTCACGAGTGTTGACAGTGTTCTAATTTCGTTTGATCGTTTACCGGAAAACGAAGCCTCTGTTATTTACTTTATTATTATTGTTGTTGAGCCGTTATGGTGGATTCGATGTTGTTTTAATCTCATAGGTTACTACTTTTTTAATGAAAATTAATTTTTTAAAGGATTGATATAATTGAACGTTATTTTTTTATATGTTTAAGCAACATTAATAAGTATGAAAAGATAGTATTTACATTTATAATAATATATAATAACAAGTCTCTTTTTTGTGTAAATAGGTCATGGCCGTGATTCCTTCATACCGACTGTGTGAATAAAGCACAAAGATTCTTTTTACGTGGTTCTTCAAATGATACCCAAAGCGACCTTTTGGAATGTAAATAATAGCAGAGCTATTGACGAAAATTTTAACGTGTGATTAAGTGAACTGAAAAAAGATTCGACCAAATTTCCATCCGATCAAATTTCCGTCGATCAATTTTCCGTCAACGAAATTTCTTTCAAACGAATTTCGTTACACCCCCCCCCTACCCCGATTGCTCTTTCTTTTCCCTGCTTAGGAACAGAAAATGTCGCCCCCAGGAGGGGGGTGCCGCCCCTGTCAATCCCACATCCTGTTCTTACATTAGTGGATGATTAAAAAAATATAAACCGATATAAAATCCATGAGATTTTTACCTTGTTTTTTAAATGTATATGCTAATAAGGAAATCCAATGGTGAAACAATAGGCCCTATAGGCTACAATAGTTACCTTTAACACATGTTTAAAACGTTTGATTCACATGGTAATTGGCCGGTATGACAGGTGTTCGGTTAAGATATATTTAACTCTAACATGTTAGAGAGTCAACCATAGCAACTTTGAGACCTTTAATCATCCGAGGCCCCCTACAGCCGCGGAGGTTGCAGGGCACACGTGACGGCTCTGGAAATAGTTAGTTTGGAAAATATGCGCCCCCCCCCCCCACACACACACAACGACCACAATGACGGTATCCTGAAAATCCTATTAAGATAAATACCATAAGGATAAGATTAAATTTAAGTGGCATCATTAAGACTGTCCCATATTATTCTAAATGACTTCACACACATTGCCAGTTCCCTCCCTCTCTCCCTCCTTCCACCCATCCCTCCTTCTATCTATCTATCCATCCATCCATCCGTCTATGCGTCTATCCGCCTGCCTATCTATCTATCTATCTATCTATCTATCTATCTATCTATCTATCTATCTATCTATCTATCTATCTATCTATCTATCTATCTATCTATCTATCTATCTATCTATCTATCTATCTATCTATCTATC